ATCATAACTATTATTTGATAAAACAATGAAGTAAAATTAGTTTTACCTTTTGATTTATTATTTATTTTATAGTTTCTTATTAATTAAATAATAATATGTTATACAGGATTATGAMGATTTTGATGCAGCTAATGAATTGGATGAGTTGGACAAATTTTTTGATATTTCTACTAAAACTCCTCCTAAAGAAGTAAATGGCTCAACTACCGTGGTAAATAATTCAAAATTGTTATAGTATATTTATTTTTTTCTAATCCCTTAATATTTGTTTTTTCAGGAAGATGTTAAAGTTGAAAGTACAAATGAAAACAATGATACTAATAATGGGTAAATTATTAAAAAATATTTAAAATTTTAATTTTAATCTTAAGTATTGGTATATATTTTTTGTTTTGATAATTAAAAAAAAAATTTTAATGTGAAAATTAAAAAAATCTTCTACTCCCACTGTATAATTATTTAATTTATTTTTAGTTAAAATTCAATTGAATGCATAATAAACACAATTTTTAATATTATCATAAAATAATATTAGAAATTAGTACATATTTTTCAGTTTCTCATGTTTCAAACAAATTTGAATTTATTTAACATTAGAAATTTAATTATTTACTTAAACTTTTATATTATTAGAATAATAATTTAAATTTTGAATTGATACTATTCATAGAACTGTAAAAGAAAAAGTAAATGTAAATGAAGAACAACAAGAACCTTTGACTTCTGATGATGAAGATAGTGATAATGAATCGCTTGACACACAGGTGACAAGCAATTAAATGAACATTTATAATTTTTTTTAACAAATTCATCCTATTAACTTGATGAGCTGTTTTTTTTAACAGTATTTTTTAATGTTTCACTACAAAAATGAGTAGATTTTAATGTTTGCACACCTCTGAATAATACCACACTAATAAATAATTATACATTAATATTGACACTAATTRACATAATTTTTTTCAAAAAATGATTAAAAGATAAAATAATGTGTGAATATTGATTACTAGACAATTTCACAACTATTCGAGGATATGGGTGTAAGTTTTCTACTAAAAATTTGGGTTTTTACTCTAATAACCAAAACCAACTCCAAAAATAAAGCTCAGTGAACCATTGTTCAAACCTTTTCAATGTATTAGTTTTTAAGCATTGGCTATTTAAAAAAATTTGAAAAAATTTGATTGAAGTACGTAGGTGTATCATAACACAATTGTTATAAAATGAAAATGTTAACACTAACTWATTTAATTCAAATTGTTTATTGCTTTAAATTTCATGTTTTCACTATTATTTTTAAGTTATGGTTTTAAAAATTTGAATCCCACCTGTTCTTTCTCCTAATTAAATCTTAACTGATCAACACTTCCAAGTCCATTATCGCTCTGCATACTCAGAAATAACCAAAATCAATGCTGGCGTCCCACAAGGGGGCATTCTATCTCTATTCTATCATATCTAACTCTATTCAACATCTATGTTGCTGATCAGCCCACCACTCCTCAAACCATGGTGGCTGATTATGCTGACGATAAGGTCATTTTGTTAATTAGTGAAAATCTRGTAACCGCCTCATCAAACCTACAACTTCACCTTAACTTAGTGACTAACTAGTACGACAAATGACATATCAAAATAAACCAAAACAAATCAAGTTATACTACATTTACTCTCTAAAAGGGTGTATGTCCAACTGTTTCACTGAACAAATCCCAATTCCCACATTGGATACAATAAAATACTTGGAACTCAATCTCAACAAACGACCAACATAGAAAAATCATTTATGAACCAAAAGACTGACTCTCAACGCCCATATGCGCATACTCAGCCCTCTAATATTGAGAAATAATAACACCAATCTAAAAGTCAAACTTCTAATTTACAAATCTCTCCTGAAACCTATTTGGATTTATGACATACAGCTCTCGGTTCAGCAAAAAATTCAACACCAATAAAATCCTAGTATTCTAAAACCTAGCTCTTGGACGACTCTCCAATGCACCACTTTACATCTCAAACCTAACATTACATAACAATTTTCACATGAAAACCATTAATGAAGAAGCTCAAATCTTTTACTCACGCTTCCTTTTGAGACTTCTATCCCACCAAAATCCTCTTATTAAATCCTTTCCTCTCTGACTCTCCCAGGAAATCCAAGGYGCAGGCTAAAAAAGAAATGGTGTCGTGACCTCTTATAATTACCAAGTTAAAATATACAATATATATACACACAATTCCAACCATCAATAATTAAAAAGCAAAAAAAATGTATATATAAATAAATAATTCATGCTATGTGTTACCAGTGCCAGGCGGCYTCTTAATCAATTTCTCACATCCTGTCTTCTCTTAGCACATAAGCTTATTGTACATACTTGTATAGATGGTTTATTTCTAATAATAATAAAAAAAATTTGAATAACAATAAGTTGATCATTATGAATAGATAACCAATATTATGAAATTGAAATATATGTATTTTATTTTTATTGATTGTCTTTTGGTATTAAATATTAATTAACTACTACAATACTTTATTTGTTGCTCTGATTAATATAATATAGTAGTAAAATACTAAATTGTCAAAATATTTGTGATTTTTGACWTTATAATTGCATGAATTGTTATTTTGTTTAATTAACATTGGATTCTTAATCTATATTTAGTTTACCGTGAAATTAAAAAAAAATATATATGTACATTTTTCTCATGATTTTTTAATATTATATTTTTTATGGATTTTAGAACAAATTGAACGATACAACAGTAAGTCCAAATTCCGTCCCACTTACAGATGAATCAAATGTATTATTGGATATCCCAGAAACTAAAAAAGAACCGTTATCAGAAACCGAAGAAGAAATTGAAGAGTGAGATTTTTTAGCTTCTCAAAAAAAAAAAAAATGTACAAAATTATAATAATTTTTAATTCGCTGCCTTCACTCTAACAAATTATTCTATTCTATTTTTTTTTTTTAACAAATGTTACTATTTTTTTCTAGTTTGAAACTCCAAGTATTAGACTTAATATTATTATTATTATTTTTTTTTTGTGTTCAATACCAAAATAATTCCTTAAACAAATATTGGTTGCTTATAGTTATGATTGTAATTTTTATTTATAACCACACTATATTTATAATATGTAATTATTGGTTTTGTATTTATTGATTTGTTTTAAGGATATTAGAACAATCTTTAAATGTCAATTGATGTTAAGCAAATAAATAAATAATTTTGCTTTATATTATATATTTTATTTTATTATAATTATTTTATTATACTTATTTATTTATACAAATACATTTTAAGAAATGTTCTTTTTTTACCAATAATGTTTTATTCAATGATCCAATGTTACAAGTTGTATGAATACGTTTGATTGACCGAGAAAATAAGTAATTATTGCCAATTCAGGTTTAATTATAATTAAATACAAGTTATTTATAAATTGTACATAACCTTATTACAAAGAACTCACATAACATTTGGGCCTTATTATATAACATATTATT